TTTTTATTTTGATCCTCTCAAATTCACGGATCAATTTCTTAATGTTGTTATTAATCTAATTAAGGGAGAAACCGTAGTTATTTTCATTTCTTTTATTTTCCGAATTATTTCAATCTCATCCAAGATCATCTTCAGGGCTTAATTTTTTGTCTTAGAAACTCTCCTTCTCTTTCTTTCTTTCAATTTTCCTTCATGCTTCATCCTCTTTCACCCCAATTTCTCCCTTTTGTAATGTCTTTCGTTTCTCCGTTTTTGTCCTCTCTTTCTTTTCTCTTCCATTTTTGTCCTCGCTTTCGTTTCTCTTCCTTTTTGTCCTGTCTTTCGTTTCTTCCTTTTTTGTCCTCTTTTTCGTTTCTCTTTCGTTTTTACCTTTTTTGTCCTCTCTTTCGTTTCTTCTTTTGTTGTCCTTTCTTTCGTTTCTTTTCCTTTTTGTCCTGTCCTTCGTTTCTTCCTTTTTGTCCTCTTTTTTTCTTCCATTTCTGTCCATTCTTTCGTTTCTCTTCTTTTTTTGTTTTCTCTTTCGTTTTTCTTCCATTTTTTTTTCTCTTTCGTTTCTTCCGTTTTTTGTGCATCCTTTCGTTTCTTCTTTTTTTGTCCTCTCTTTCGTTTCTTTCGTTTCTTTCGTCCTTTTTTTTTTGTCCTTTTTCGTTTCTTCTTTTTTTTGTCCTTCTTTTCGTTTCTTCATTTTTAGTCCATTCTTTCGTTTCTTCATTTTTTCCTTTTTTCCTCTTTTTTTTTTCTTCCCTTTTTTGTCCTCTCTTTCGTTTCTTCCTTTTTTTGTCCTCTTTTTTCGTTTTTTCATTTTTGTCCTTTTTTTCGTCTCTTCCGTTTTGTCCTCTCCTCCGTTTTTCATTTTTTCCTTTTCGTTTCTTTTCATTTTTGTCCTCTCTTTCGTTCTCTTCCGTTTTGTCCTTTCCTTTTTTCTTCATTTTTTGTCCTGTCTTTCGTTTCTTTTTTTTTTGTCCTCTGTTTCGTTTCTTCCTTTTTTGTCCTTTCTTTCTTTTCTCTTCCTTTTTATCCTGTCTTTCGTTTCTTCTTTTTTTGTCCTCTTTTTCGTTTCTCTTCCGTTTTTGCTCTCTCTTTCGTTTCTTTCTTTTTTTGTCCTCTCTTTCGTTTTTTCTTTTTTGTCCTTTTTTCGTTTCTCTTCCTTTTTGTCCTGTCTTTCGTTTCTTCCATTTTTGTCATCTCTTTCATTTCTCTTCCGTTTTTGTCCACTCCTTCGCTCCTTGTTTTTTTGTCCTTCTTTTCGTTTCTCTTTTTTTTGGCTGTCTTTCCTTTCGTCCTTTTTTGTCCTCTTTTTGTTTCTCTTCGTTTTTGTCCTGTCTTTCGTTTGTTCATTTTTTTGTGCTCTCTTTCTTTTCTCTTCCAATTTTGTCCCCTCTTTCGTTTCTCTTCTTTTCTTGTCCCCTTTTTACGTTTCTCTTCCCTTTTTATTCTCTTTCTCGTTTCTCTTCCTTTTTGTCCTCTCTTTCGTTTCTCTTCCTTTTTGTCCTTCTTTCGTTTCTGTTCCATTTTGTTCTCTCTTTCGTTACTTCTTTGTTGTCCTCTTTTTCGTTTCTTCCTTTTTTGTCCTCTCTTTTGTTTCTCTTCCTTTTTGCCTTCCCTTTAGTTTCTCTTCATTTTTTGTCCTCTCTTTCGTTTCTCTTCCTTTTTGTCCTCTCTTTCGTTTGTCTTCCGTTTTTTGTCTTCTCTTTCGTTTCTTCCTTTTTGTCTTCTCTTTCGTTTCTCTTTCTTTTTGTCCTCTTATTCGTTTCTCTTTTTTTTTGCCCTCTCTTTCGTTACTTCTTTTTGTCCACTCTTTCGTTTCTCTTCCGTTTTTGTCCTCTTCTTCGTTTCTTCCTTTTTGTCCTCTCTTCGTTTCTCTTTCTTTTTGTCCTCTGTTTCGTTTCTTCCTTTTTTGTCCTCTCTTTCTTTTCTCTTCCTTTTTGCAATCTCTTTCGTTATTTCTTTTTTTCTTCCTTCTTTTTTTCTCTTCTTTTTTGCCCTCTCTTTCGTTACTTCTTTTTGTCCTCTTTTTCGTTTCACTTCCATTTTGTCCTCTTCGTTTCTTCCTTTTTTGTCCTCTTCTTCGTTTCTTCCTTTTTTGTCCTCTTTTTCGTTTCTCTTCCATCACATTTCCATCGCCATTGTTTTTTCATTGATCTCTTCGATTTTCTTTTTATTTTATTTTCTTCTTGGTTCTGACCCTCCTCTCCTCTCGATTCTTAATTCCCCCTCTTCACTCAATTCCCTTATTTTCATTTCGCTCTTCATTTTGATTTTCTCCGTACATTGCACAGTTTATTCATGTCTTCACAATTCCTCAAGTGTTTTTTGATAAATAGTAAACAATTAAAACATTTTTCAAGTGTTGTGAGATCAGACAGATGAATCGTTGTCTTCCCAAAAATAGATTTGATCATGGCGTTCTTTGATATTGTTACACCCAAACCGAGAAATATGGAAACATATCTCGCCGTAACTCAGCGTAAAAAAACACCCACGTTTTAATGAATTGATCCCAACTTCCCCGTCAACATGACTAGAAAGCCAACCCAATAACATATTTACATTTATAAAACGTTATACATCTTATGACAGTCAACAAATATTCGATGCTATAGTTATTAAGGATCTCTTTTTCTTTGATGGAAAAAGACAAAGAATTTTTGCCCCAAACCATTATACATCAATTTAAAAACATCAATGGTTTGCTTTGGTTTATTTTGTTTTACGGTATATCAACCTCAAAGGGTTATTTAATGCCGACAAGATTTTTATTGCTGGTCTGGTTTCCTTTGTTTTGTTTTACGGCATATCAACCTCAATGGGTTATTTAATGCCGACAAGATTTTTATTTCTGGTTTGGTTTGCTTTGTTTTGTTTTACGGCATATCAACCTCAATGGGTTATTTAATGCCGACAAGATTTTTATTGCTGGTTTGGTCTGCTTTGTTTTGTTTTACGGCATATCAACCTCAATGGGTTATTTAATGCCGACAAGATTTTTATTGCTGGTTTGGTTTGTTTTGTTTAACGGCATATCAACCTCAATGGGTTATTTAATGCCGACAAGATTTTTATTGCTGGTTTGGTTTGGTTTGGTTTGTTTTGTTTAACGGCATATCAACCTCAATGGGTTATTTAATGCCGACAAGATTTTTATTGCTGGTTTGGTTTGCTTTGTTTTGTTTTACGGCATATCAACCTCAATGGGTTATTTAATGCCGACAAGATTTTTATTGCTGCTTTGGTTTGGCATTCCTGTCATTAAAGCATATTTACACTTTCATAGTGTTTTTTACCTCAGTTTCGGGGTTAACTATTTGCCCATAGCTTGGACCCTAACAAGTGCTACCACCCCGGGCCAGGGTGGGACGGAGAACACCAGAAATTAAGAGGTGGTTGCACGCTCCTCTTTACCTCCTAATCATTGGCCTTGCTGCTGGACGTAGTTTATCGTCTTAGCTAGGACGCGGATGTAGTGTATCGTCATACTCAGGACAACCCATTGAGGGCTGGGGGGGTTACTTCTCTTCAGAAGTGCATTCGACATATTATACAGCCCCAGCCGACAGGTCGGTAAAAATATCAAAGTTTAAACATTAAGAAAACATCCCTGTACGTAAGTAATATGTGATTTTTATCTGAATTATCTGAATAAAAAAAGAAACATTTACATCATTTCATCACCCAGAAAGATGCCTAGACCTGTAAGAAATAAATCTTGACACTTCTTTAAACATGGTGAAATGTAGTGGAACAAAATTGGTAGAAATCCTGAAAACTTGTCTAAGAAGGCCTTCCGGATATAAGTTACTGATTATATGGGATTATATTTAGATTAAAATAAAAGAACTGTAACATTTATTTTCAATGTTTTATAATACACAAAATAAGCTATTGGTGATTGAAATATAACGGAATTGATTTTAAGGAAAAAGAAATAAATTATGTAATGTTAATGAAAATTCATTAAATTAAGTATGCCACGTATGCAAAACAAATAATGTAACGAGGATTTTTTAATCGCTGTTGCATGATAATTCTTTCACTTCTAATGTCATTCTCGACTTTTTCCGCATTTCGTTTTGCTTCTGTCTTTGAAATTTTTTAAACGAAAGATAATTTTTAACTCTGCGTATGTTATTGCAATCGTTATAGCTAAATGTTGGCTTTCTTTCCATAAAACTGACAAGCTTTTCAATGGATTTTTCAGTTTCAGCCCAGGTTTCATCACAACCATGTTTTTAATTCCTTTGTTCATTGTCACAGTGTGAACGCTGGAGAGTAGTTTATTTGGAAGATTTTATATCATAAAATGTTGACTTTCTTATGCTGGACTGATCCATTAGTTACAATGAACTTTCACCAGTGTCTAGTCAGTTTAAAATTTTAATTTTTTGCTATAACTCCAAAATTCTTCTTATTCTCATCATCTTTTGCACCAATACAAGCCATTAGGGATTCCGGATATGAGGGAGTCTACTGTATATTAAAATGCAGATTATATTAAGACGAATCAGCCATTCCCTTCTGTTAAATGTGAATGTATATGCTTGAATAAATCTAACTACAAATATCTTGACTTTGTTTTTGAAATTCACTGAAAAGCGGTTCGAAATTTTGTTCCGACTAAATATTAACTACGAAAATTTTTGGAGCGCATTAGGCGCTCCATTATTTTAACCTTGTGTCAGATTGTACTAAACACTTACGCTATTACAAACTCAAACGCTCCTTTATTTGAACCCCGACTGATCGAACTACATTACTTCGGATATCGCTTTTATGAACAAGTGTAAAATGCGTTCTTATTGTGCAAATCTGATAAAATATGGCGTCCAGGTAATGGGTAGACTACGCCTTTCTTCTCAACTATGCACCATAAAGAGGAAAATAGAACAGATATTTTCAACAGCCTCGTATTCAAAGACGTTGCATCAGGTAGAAGCGCCAGTGGGCAAGAGTGCGTCGATACAGCAGAAACATCGATGGTGGAAATGGGAATGAAGAAAACGCATTTGGTGGTGAGCGAGTTATCTCCCTTGATGCACAGCATTGTAAACCACGCAAAGAAACGAATAGGCACGCTCATTGACATGCGTAGAAATATATATATATATATATATATATATATATATATATATATATATATATATAGAGAGAGAGAGAGAGAGAGAGACAAAAGAGAAAGATAGAGTGAGAGGGAAGGATAGAGAAAGTGTAAATTATTAAAGTGAGAAGAAGACTTCGAATGAAACAGAAACTAAGGAAAATAAAAAAAGAAAGAAAGAAAAAAGAATCTAGGAAATGAGTAGAAGGAGGAGAAATAAAGAAAGAATAAAAGCCTAAGAAAGAAAAGCAGTGAGAAAGAAAGAAAGAAAGAAAGAAAGAAAGAAAGAAAGAAAGAAAGAAAAACAAAAAAGAATGTTGGAAATAAGGAGAAAGGAGAAATAAAAAAAAGCTAACAAACAAATGAAAGATGGAGGCAGTGAGAAAGAAAGAAAGAAAGAAAGAAAGAAAGAAAGAAAGAATGTTGGAAATGAGGAGAAGGAGTAGAGAAAAAAAAGAAAGAATCAAAGGCTAAGAAAGAAAGAAAAAAAGAAAGAATAATGTTGAAAAAACAAAGGAAAGAAAGAAAGAAAGAAAGAAAGAAAGAAAGAAAGAAAGAAATAGAAGGTAGTGAATGAGAAGAAAGAGAAAGAAAATGAATTATATGCTAAGAAATAAAAAGAAAGAAAGAGAAGACAAAACAGGAAGAGAGAAATGTTTAGAAGCAAAAGAAAGAGGAAAAAATACAGAAGAAGAAGAAGAAGAAATAAAAACAGGCTAACAAACAAAAGAAAGAAGGAAAAAAGGAGAGTGGAGAAAAATAAGGAAAATAAAAAAAAAGAGAGAGAAGGATGAAAAGGAATGTAGAACGAGAAATAAAACTTAAGACAAAATGAATGAAAACAAAAAAAAAGATGTTTCAAAAAGAAAGAAAATCAGATATTAATAAGAAAAAAAAATAAGATCGGAAGAAAGAAAGAAATATGAAGCAAAGAAAAAATAAATAAATAAATAAAATCTTTTAAAAGAAACAAAGGTGAAAAAAGAATAAGATGACGGTTATTAAAAAAGAAAGAAATGACGAAAAAAAGAAAGAACACTAACTGATGGAGAAACACGTAATACAAATTGACTTAGACAAAAGATATATATTTAATATATTAAATATATATCTAAATACGTTAGCTGAACTGCAAGAGAAAACATATAGAAATATATGTAGTAAAAAAAAAACCCAGAAAAATAAGTATAAAAAACTCGATGAACAAAAAAATAAAAAGAATGAGAAAAAAGATAAAAAAAAAAACCCAAACAGTTATGAATAAAAATATTTCAAAAAGGCGAGTGAAGGAAAATGAAGGGCGAAACAAAATCATACGAAATAGAGAATGAAGGAAAGTATTGAAAGAAAGAAGAAAAGTAAGATATATGAAAGAGGGAGACGGAAAGCATCTCATAAAGAGTAGAATGAAGAAAAAGGAAAAGACGAAACAAAGGGAAGGACGTGGAAGGGAAAGAGAGAAAATAAAATGAAAATGAGATAGAAATCGAAACAGACAAAGAAATATTTCCCAAAGAGAGTGAAAGTGAAACGTCCCTAGCCTGGAGCTAATTTGTATCGGCACTCTTAATCAATAAAATTGCAAGGTCATACAGCAAATATATTTCTATTTATTTGAGCGGCGCATGTGCAGTAAGCATTGCCTAGAGGTTGGAAAATGGCTGACATCGCGCGCCAAGAAGAGAAAGCGTAGAGGTCGGTCGTTGCTTCGGTTTTCCAGCTGCTACGGCATTTAGAAAATAGAGACGCTAAGCCTCGTGATTTAAGCTGCGTTTTTCCTAAAAGTGAAAACAAAGAAAAAAATATCTATACATTAATTACGTAATTAATAATTTAAATGGAATCTTTTAGCTCATATTAGTGATTTAACAGAAAATGAAATATTCTTTGGCAACAAAGTCAAGTTACGAAATATATGTATACGGTTTGCGCATTTTAATCTCATTAAACTTTTACTTTAGTTACACAGCAAAGATTTAAAAGTAAATGAACGACACACTCTATATTATGAACGTATGTATGAGTGTATATACGTACGTATGTATTCATGTTATTTAATATGCATATGATTAATCTATCTATCTATCTATCTATCTATCTATCTAATTAACTATGGCATTTTGCGTTTTGAATGAATTTATCCTTCCATTTCGTAACAATGGGAAATCTTTACTTCAGATTTTCAGGAAAAATAAATTATTATACACACAAACATATATATATATATATGTATATATATATATATATATATATATATATATATATATATACTAAAGCATAACACATGGTACAAAAATTAATCTATCTAACTGATATTTAGCTCTTAATCTGATTTTATATCTATCTGAGGCTGTCATTATCTATCTATCTATCTATCTATCTATCATCTCTCTTTATCTATCTGAAAACCACACTGAATGGTGACTGTCTGTTTTATGTTTGAACGCAATTTACAAGCATGAAATAGACTGTTGCCTATTGGTTCTGTCCTTAGCACCCATATATATATATATATATATATATATATATATATATATATATATATATGTGTGTGTGTGTGTGTGTGTGTGTGTGTGTGTGTGTGTGTGTGTGTGTGTGTGTGTGAAAATATATAGAAAATAGGAAAGAACTGGTTAGGTAAATAATCCAAAGTTCTTTAGTATTTTTTATATTATTTTTTAAAAATAGTGCTCGATACAAAAGTAGAGCATATATATATATATATATATATATATATATATATATATATATATATATATTTATTTAAAAATATGATTCCAAAACGCTACATAAGAGGTCTCATGTTTCAAAACAAGAGCCAAAAACTTCAATATAATTATTTGAATTGAATTGAATTAAAGTAAGCTCTGTTCCATGTTCAAGCGAAATTTTTTTTGGAATAACTTATTTCTGAAATTTACGTGTTTTAATAGCATATTCATAATTGAAATCAAAATTTCCATGGTAACAGCCAGGGCGATTGTTTAAATAGGGAGGTCTGTTGAGTGTTAATAATATGTATCAGTATAGAGTTACATTCATAGATGTCAAGTCAGGGTAAGGTAGGGGTGTCTAAATTTAAAACGGAAGATGTTTTCGCCTAGTCTGGTTTACGTGTCTATGGAGATTTATTTATTTTTTTATTTTATTTCTTTATGAAAGGGTTTTGTGTATATAAAAACTGCCGTAACATTTGGTTTTTTGACGACTTTATAAAGGGTTATCTATTTTTGTAGGGTATTCAAACTATTTATTAGGGCTATGGATTATAAAAATTATATTATTGTATGCTTGTTTTTGAGCTAATTATTCAATGCAAAAATTTGATGATGTCGGCAAAAAACCCGTTAACTCATGTCTATTGTTTAATAGATTTTTATTATTTAGAAACTTAATAATGTGCAGTTTCTCATGGAGGCACAAAGGGCATGGGTTATCCCAAGTTTTACAAGTTCTAGTTTTGTTTATAATTTTCCATTCTACTTTAGGTGTCCTATTTGTTTCCTTCAGATGCCAAAAATATTTCGATAGAGATGTCTGATTTCTTTTATTTATATTGTTGAAAGAGCACTTATGCTGCCTCCATCTGGCTTTAAATTCATTCTTCGTAGACCCAATATATATCATATTAGTATTAGGACTCTCAATGGATGAGATAGTACATTGGTATACCACAGATTTGACGCACCATTTATTTTCCAATGGGCAGTCTTCTGGGTTTCTAAAATCACATATTTTTTCACTGTTATTTTCTAATTTAAGTGTAGGGTTTTTATTAATACTATTCAGGCATGGGGATTTGTTCAGGATTTTATTATTGTGTTTTTTTATTATACTTTCTAGATTTTCAGTGCAGCTGTAACTCAATTTTAGGGTGTTCTTATTAAATATTTTACTAAGTCTACTATTGGTAGGGAAGTGTTTTTCAATTAATGCTAGGAATTTCTGTCCTAGAAACAATTGCACTAGCCAGAAGAAAAAAAAACAGGAAAGAAAAATCATTTGGTATACCCCTCCGTTCAACCAAATGGTTGGTATTAATATATATATATATATATATATATATATATATATATATATGGACATATGCATAAGGTACAGGTTCGATTCCTGTCGGAGCACGCATATTTTCTATGAAAATTTCTCGGACATTCAGGCCAGAAAATGTCGTTAATACTGTTTATTATAAACACAGCATTTACTTAAATATTTGTATCTATAAAAAGAACGTATAACCATAAAAATGTCTTAAATAATTGTCGAACTTTGTCCATTTCATAATATATGGCGTCATTTGTTTACATATGGATACGCATTGAGCAGATATGAATCAATGAGAGGAAATCATGGAGAACTGTGTTTAAAAACAGTAAAATCGACCTTGCTAATCGAACGATCCTCCGTGGCTCGATCAGTTAAGGCATGTCAGACTATATGACGGTTCCGTATAGGATACAGGTTCGAATCCTGTCGGAGGACAAATGTTTTCTATGAAAATTTCTCGGGTAATCAGTCTGGTAAATGTTGTTTAATACTCTTTATTATAAACAGAGCATTTACTTCAATATTTATATCTATAAAAAGAACGTATAAACATTAAAATTGTCTTAAATAATTGTCCGACATTTTCCCATTCCATTATATATATATATATAAATAATAGATTCAGTAAGACATTTATTTTGCTATGGACAATTTATGGGATGTCTAAAATTGCATAATTTATTACTAGTATTTTTATTTAGGTTTAAGTGTTTATTTAAAATTTTATTTTTATTTTTTATAATTTTGCCCATTAGAACTGAGACTCTACTGAATGATAACACCGTTTACTGATCTCAGATATCATTTCAAAATTAGACTCCCATAAGGCAAGTGACGGTAAAGGGATCCCAGCCGTCGTCCTAAAGAAGGGCGCTCCCGAGATGGCTCAAGTTCTCTCCATACTCTACAACTATTGCCTTGCTGCTTCCAGCTTGTTGAAAGTTTTCCGCTGTAGTTCCTGTTTTTAACAAAAACTGGAGAACCTTCTGAGCTCACTAACTATCGTCCTATTAGTCTCCTACCGCTTTTGGAGGCTTTAATCAATGCTGACGTCGTTAAGCATCTTACCTGCCAGAACCTACTCTCAGACTAAAAATATAGCTTCCGTTTTTCCCGGTCTATCGCTGACGTGCCTACAGCCCTCAGCGAATGTGTATATCAAGCTCTTTATAATAACAGCGAAGCTCGAGTTGTGGCTCTAGATATCTCAAAGGCGTTTGTCAGTGTTTGAATTCTAGTCTTCTACGTAAGCTTCAGAGATACAGTATTAGAGGACGATTATTTGATTTAAACCAATCATTCCTATTAAATAGTGAAATAAAGGTCGTTCTAATCGGGCTCGCTTCCATCTCCTTTCATACGAATGTGAATATCTCGCAAGGATCTATCCTGGGTCGTACACTGTTTCTGATTTTCACCAATGATCTTCCTGATGTCATCAGTTATCAAGTAGGTTTTATGCAGATGAAATTACCATTTACTCCTGTCTCAGTAGGAAATCGGTCAGAGTTGACAAAGTTAACCAGGCCGCTGCTCTTAAAAAAGACCGCCAATAGTGGTTAATTGATGCAGGAAGTGGCTTGTAAATTTTTAATGCCTCCAAAACAAAACTGTTCGCATTTAACCACTATAGAGAAACTTCCCTTCCCGCCATCAGCTTGTTTGATGATCGAGTTCTGGAGAGAGTCTCACTGTGCCTTCTTGGCCGCATATTTTCGACTTGAAGTTGAACAACTACATTGAATCAATAGCTGCATCTACTGCAAGGAAAGTTGGGTTACTGTGTCGTACCAGAAGGTTTTTAGCGTCAGAGTTCATCTTGCACATTTAAAAATCTACCGTTCGGCCGTGGATTGAATCCTGTCGGCATATCTGGTCTGGTGTTCCTGCTATTCATCTCGCGGTTCTTGATAAAATTCAAAGAAGGATCTGCAATATAATCGATCCTGACTTGGCATCTCGACTTCAGTCACTTTCTTACAGACGTAATGTGGCTTCCCTCTGTCTTTTCTACAAACGTATTCATGATAGCTGCTCTGACGAGCTCCTCTTCAAAGCCTGCTACAAGATCGACCTCTTGGTCCCACTCATTTGCTGTTTAATGTAACAATTAAATGTAACCGCCACTTCTACTCCAACAGTTTCTTTTCTCGCACTTCTGGCTTGTGGAACTACTTTCAATGCCCATGCTGCCCTGATAATTTCAATCTTCAAAAATTTAGTATTCTCAAACCCGCCTTGCTTGATTCTAATGATTAAATAAAAGAAGTAAAATGCAACTATTTAATCCAATAAGCAAAGATGAAATGAAAATGCAGGATTTTTAAACAAGTGAAAAAATTACCTGTGTATAGTGCAACCGGTCTCTGAAAATGCCTGAATTTTAAACAATTCAAAAAATTACCTGTGTATAGTGCAACCGGTCTCTGAAAACGCATGATTTTTAAACAATTCAAAAAATTACCTGTATATAGTGCAACCAGTCTCTGAAAATGCCTGAATTTTAAACAATTCAAAAAATTACATGTGTATGGTGCAACCGGTCTCTGAAAATGACTGATTTTTAAACCTTTCAAAAATTACCTGCGTATAGTGGTACCCCGTAGTTTATTTCTAAAAGCTTATACTAAAAGCTCGGACTACCCTCGAATATATAGGTAATTAGAATCAAAAATAAAAATGCTGTTAACTTTCAACATATCACAGAACAAATGGTTTGGAAAGAAACTCGAACCAAGACTCGATAGACGAATTTCACCATTAACATTCTTGTACCAGCGCATTCTTTCAATGTTATTTTCTCCATAAAGTTATTTATTGAACTTCGTATTTGGTAGATCATCTGAGAGCAAAATAAGAAAATATTGACTTGGGTTTCCTGTTTTGAATCTATTTGCGTGAATTTTTGTTTTTATATGATGTATTTATAAAATAGATTTGCTCTTGGGCTAATTCGGTAGAGCTGTTTTGTGATTTGGAAAATAATCTAGCATTTGTTTACGTATGGATGTGTGCACAGATAAGGTCAGCTGTTCTCCAATGAAGAAAGTTAAACAAAGCGTCTTATCGCTTTGAGTTGACTAAGAAAGAAAAGGATCTGATTCCATGAAGGCATCCCTTTTTTATCTTCCTCCAAACGTCTATAACACAAGTGTCTAAAGCGCTCCAACGCATTATTCCGAAACGTAACATTGAAAATACCAGCAGGGTTTAAAATCAGTGGATATCATTTTCTTGCGACAAGCATTATTTTTTAAATCATTTCAATCCAAGGAAGGCGATAATGTCAATAAGACGGATGAGTTTACTGGGAGTGAAAAAAAAAACTAGAAGAAACCGGATACCCAATCCTAAGACCAAA